ATTTATGTCTAGGACAAGCGGATATAGCTTAGCGGGCACACATCAAATCAACAGTTTCAGCGCGTTATTATCTATTCTGTGATTCTAAGCGGAGCCAGTTTTCGCTAAAATTTATGCGAACACCGGTATGGTAGCGATACATTCTAACAACAGGACCCCATTAGATGCGATCATAAAATAAACTAACAGTTGAAACAGAGTGCATTTGTTCTTTCATCTTATTAACACATGTTCAGTTATCCTAACGAACAGTTCAAGTTCTTTGGATACTATGAAGAAAAGATTTTTGATATCAATCGAAAAGCAACAAAAACAATTACAAAAACCCATTACTGTAAACTTACTGATCCTGACATGATGCTAAAATTAACTAAATATCACTATCTAATTGACGATAATAATGGTATTAAGGATTTCACTTTGATCAATAAATAGATCGATTGATGTAAAGTGTATTAAATGTGTTGATGATCGAAAAAATAAAAATAAAAAAGATGATGATGGAATACAAATATAAATATATGTTACGCTTTCGCAGCTATGTTTAATGACGATTTCAGTCGTGTATGTTTAAAACGAACAGGTGTCAAAACGAAGAAGAGAGAAAAAGAATCTAAAATATATAAATACACTGAATCGACGTTTCTTCTTTTTTTTTGGTGGTGAGTTATCGGCTACGTGTGTGTGTGTGTGTGTGTAGATGCGTATTCTTCACATATGAATATTTTGTGACACACATCGCTCACGCTTCTATTATTCGTTTTCGACTAAAAAGGAAACTAGAGAAAATAAAAACTTTTTTTCATTTCTTTCTTATCAAAATTCAAAGAGAGATAAATAAACTAGACAAGAATTTTATCAAAAGAAAATAAGACACGATGGAAAATTTTGATTGTTAGTAAAAGGAAAGTAAAACATACTCGGACCGGTGTTGCGGATTACTCATCCTATTTTTTTTTTAATAATCACCAAATATGGACATAACCATGACAATTTCGCAAAATAATGATTAATTAATGAGAAAATGAGACTCCTCACGTTTAAAGTCAACGGATAGCGAAGGAAAATCTAAATCAATTCAAGCAACTAAAATCTAAAGTGACAACTGTGACTTTTAACCATGGACTTAGTTTTTGCTCTTGTGCTTTTCCTGAATGAGTACATCTCTATTTTCGATCTTTATTCTAGATTCATACTCAAATTTCACCAAACAAAGAATCATTATTACTTATAATTTTGAAGAGGTTCGATACAAAGAAGTCGCGATGTTTGAGATGACAAAATCACTAGTTTAGTATGAAACTGGATGAACCTTAAGAAAGGAGGCTGACTAAGCACTTAAAAACGATTAGAATTCATAGATATATGACAGGGAGCTTATAGTGTTGGCATCTTCCAAAGGTTTATCGACGTTTACCATATGAAAACTACCTGCTTTTTCCTTGCAACGATTCAAGCCGGGAGATCGCGATATTCAGATCGGGCATGTCGAGAAACGGTGTTCACCTAAGTTTCGTCTTGAAGGCAGACAAAAAGTTCCCGTCGAAATTTTTGCTTCAGGTCCCCCTCAGGTGTTTTGCCTAAAATTTAGGACGAAAACTTTTTTTTCAAAACGCGTCGAATTATATATCATTCAATGCTGTTTTTTTGCGGTTTAAAATGAAATTGCATAGTATTTCTGCAATATGATAATTTCTGCATAGTATGCAGAAAACCGGATTAAAATGAAATTCAAAAGATACGCGAGAGAAAAGAAGATCCATGTCGTACAGTAAAACTTATCATTGTCTGAGTCTTTTTTATATTTTTATAATCAATTCTATCTCGTGTCACTTTTATTTTTATTTGTTTAATTTGTATTTGTTCTAGTTTATTAACTTTGTATCTTGTGTGGTTTTATTTCTCTTTTTATTAATATTCATCCAGCAGGTTTCTTTTTTAACTTGAGTCATCTGCATATATAATTTCCTTAACATAAAACAAACTGAAGATACCTCTCGAAATCCCCTAATTTTGTCTAACTATTATATTGAATTTTCTTTGTTTAATTAAGACTCAAGATAAACCTCTAAGTTAATTGTTATTTCGATTATATTTAAGTGCAAATGTGAAGAGAAACGCGCACTAGATGGTAGTAGTTGTTAATTGAGTTAAGAGCAAAACAGACCCACAATCAACGTTCAATGTTTTATGTTTATTGTAACGCTCAGCTCGCGACGTTTCATGGGTGCTAGAGTAATGATCAACAGTATGTATTTGTTCTGAACGTTATTTTTGGACACTTTCTTTGTATCTCTTCTTTAGGTGATGCTGTATGTTTGTAGAGGCGTTGGGAGAAAATTGTATTGGCTTCAATACGAAGCATCTTACATGCAATCGGAGTAATTTTCATTAGCTAACCAAAAAGGTGTGCGGTATAATGCAAAATTTCTCTAATATGGGCGTCTATTGATCGATTTCAACATAGTCACAAAACCGAAGTAGCCGCATTGTATAAGTTTTCGTATCATTTAGTTATTTCAATATTAGATAAATCAATGAATCAATTTTATTTTAGTCCATGATCTTAATAAAATGACAGTGTAATGACAAAAGTTCAACAAAGAACTTGTCTAGGTCATCCCCAGTAAAAAAGAAAAAAAAGATAGAAAATATGACATCCTGGTTCTGAAGACTTCTTCTCCTGCAGAGGCGGCGGAGCGTCTTGTAACTTAACATTTTCTCTCGCTCAAAAGTAATATGAAATTAGAAAAAAATTCTGGTCCGTGCTAGCATAGAATGATTTTTCGAAGGCCATCTCAAGGTTTAAAAGCTCTGTGGCCGCGGTGCTGACTGGGATATTCTTCATTCATGTATTTAGACCTTTCTTTTTTACCTAGATGTCTTTAGTAAAGAAAGATCTCCTTTTTTCTCACAACCCGGTCATGCTGAACTACGCCGGGCTAAAATCCCATGAGGCTTTAGTCTATGGAGTCTGGTAACTACATGGTTTCCTGCAAAGCAAATTATTTTAGTGTTACTAATTTGTTGATCGATACAGGTCTATCTAGATTAAATTCTTTTCATTCTCCAAAACTAGTCAATAATTTTATTTCGCGGAATTCATTTGAGAAAGTATCGCTCATTCTCGGCTATCTACAAGAGATAAAAACAGGATCTAGTTTTATTAAGAATCGAACAGTATGTTGTTGTTTTTTTAACAATTACTAGGTCAGCTCTAAAATTTCTGTAAACAGGGCTCCGAATTTGATTCAAGTTACAAATCTGGCCTATAAATTTTTGTCTTTCAGTTGCATGCAATCTGAGATAAAGCATAAATTTGACTTCATAGACTTCACCCTAATGAATGCTAAATTATACATGCGGTCACTGTAGAGAGCTTCCTTTATCCAGAAACTATCCAAATAGACAGTGAAATAGACGAGACGAGCAATAGTATTGTACGAAGGTATGTGGGATTAATCAGGCTTATGTTTGAGTAATTCAGGCATCTTTTTTCCGACGCTGATGCTTTCAAAATGTATCCAAGACTTTAATTAAGCTCTTTCCTACATGAGAATTTCTCTAACCGGTGCGAGCTTGTATTCTAGTTTAGTTTCATTAGTTTTTACCTCTACGCTGATTCCAAATCTGTTTAATGATATTTATTAGTTAAATGTAACAAAATGGATTAATATTGAAATTAATAAATGCTCATATTTTTTTGATTTGAGTAGCTCTTTTTGTTATTGGTTCATAGTGTTTATGTTTAACATTTTGTTGAAAACCAGATGTGTTTTTTCGTGGAACTTTATTGTTTTTTGTATATTATGTGTTGAACTTTTTCTTTCTGAATAAAGGCTAGTCTGATGAACACATCGAGCAGAAAATGAGAAAATGTTTTTCTATCAACTATCTGCGAGTGAACTCAAACGACATTAAATTTTAGCTAAGAAATATGGCAGGGATAGATCACTGCTAAAACTGATGGATAACTGATTAGAAACTAGACTATTGTCATTCATTGAAACATCTGATTGACATGAGATTATTTGCCATCAAACTGTGCAATTGATGAAAATATAGCTTTTTTCGTAGCTTTGTGGATGGATAGCGAGAAGCGAATTATTCTACGTGAATGCATCGAAACACTTGACCCAGGTTATATTTCTTTTCTAGATGAATTGTAGTTTTGTTTGTGCAATATGTAATCCTCGTCACTTTCATCAGGTATATTATTTGTTCTATTTTTAAATTATTAAAATAAATGCGGAAATCGAAAAAGATTTCAATGATGCTGAATTGTAGAGCAAACATTTCTGGTTAAAATTTGACGCCTCTCGACTTTGAGCGATGGTTTGATTAAAAGTTATGACAGTTTTTCTCAGAGCCCTAAAGTCTGTATCATACACTATCACCACCATATCTGAAAATTCTGCATTCAGGTAGCTGGAGAGCTTGGGTTATTACGATTACCATTCCTTGAAATTGTGGTCAAGATCCAACTTATGTTTAGCGAAATAGATTTCTACCAGGAGAGACCTTAACTGAACTTCCTAGTTAAAAAACTCATTTTTTAGACGATTTTTGTTATCTTCATCGAACAAGAGATACAATTTGAAAGATAAAGATTTGATTTCATCTACAGAATGTTGTGCATCTAATTGTGGAAATTGTGCTGGGTTTACATTTGCCGAAGCAATTGGCGAACGATGTTCACATGTAAACATTGATATCGATTGATTATCGATGAGATTTTAAAATGTATTAATGATCAAAGTTTTCGTTACACTTCTGAAGTCGAAATACAAATACGAACTATTGTTAAAACAAAAAATCCTAATTGTTCATTGGAAACAGTTTTTATTTTTATTTTTTTGCTATTAATTTATTAGAATATTCATCATTATTTGCTTATCGTTATTTTATTCTATTATCGTGTGTTCATCCGAGGTATTAGCATTCTTTATTCTGCTTTAAAGATGTATATTCACTTTTAATTTTTTTTCAGATCGATTTAAATGGCAGAGCCAGATTTATCGTTTTTTGATTTGCCGTTATTAGTACAAGAGAAAATCTTGAAATTCATGACATATAGTGAACTTAGTCGAATACGAATTGTCTCAAAACGGATGCATCATTTATGTAGTGAAATTTTAAATAGATCATATTGTTTATTAGAACCACTTATTCATGAACTTCAACGTACTATTAAATCAAAACTGCCACGTCGAGAATCAGAAAGACACAAACATCCGTTGTCATGTAAATTTGACACCATTTCGTCTTTAGATTCAAGAATACAATGGTTAAAATTAACATTTAATTCATCGATCGGAAATGGTTTATGCTGTTTTTATGTTAGTTTAAATAAAAATATTTAAGATCAACAAAACTATATTCATTTTTTTTAGCCTGGAAAACTTCTCGATGAAATATATATTGTTATAAATCATTTACAAGTACTACAAACATGTCCAAATCCAAGATCGATTTTACAAGAAGTAAGAGATATGTCATCAATGGCCATTGAACATTTTCGAGAACAAATTGAACCTAAACTACAACAAACCAGATTGATCCCATCAGCAAGTACACTGGAAGGAAATAGTTCATTTCCACTATTATCGATATCGCGCTCAACATCAATTTTGTTACCGAAACATCAACTTGCACCACGTCTGTACACCACTAATAACTTACTGCTTCTTGTCCGTTAGAATAGTTGCTCTCCGTTCTAGAATTACAGAAACATCACACTATATTAAAATCATCAAATGCATTGTTACGTGAACAAATCGACGCACTGAGAAAATCTGTTCAACAACAAAACATGTTGGTAAGTAGTGAGAAAAAGGAAACTTTTCTAAATTCTAATTTATGAGAGGTATACGTTTAGTCCATTAGTTAAGTCTGTTGCTACAATATTGCTAGTAAAGTCCGTTTAAAACGCGAATTTTCTATTCAGTAAATGCAAATCTTATAGATTTCAAGACCATTTATACTTGTTTTTCTAGATTTGCAGTAAAAACTATCAGTTAGGCCTATATCGTCGATTATTACGATATCGAACGCAATCAGTCTTGAAACAAAATTATCGTGTCAAACGTTTAGAAAAAAATCTTTTACAAACAAACCATATTTTAAACGAAACACGTCAAAAATTTGACCAATTTTTGATATTGTACAATAGTAACACCACCAGTAATCGAGAAGATGATGATACGACAAATACTAATAGTAACGATCACGAAAAACAGTCAATAGCATTGAAACATGAGAATGAAAATGACAGCGACGACGATGATGATGACGATGACATTACTTATCTTTCGAAAAATGAACAAGAGGCGAAACGAAATTGTTTCGAAATCACAACATCAAATAATCGAAAACGACGAAAACTACAGTGAAAAATATCTCATGGTTTTTTGCCTGACATTTTGACGGGTAAATGATTTAGATCTCTTAGGCTAATTATTTTTTCAAACAGTAGTTTGCATATTTCAATTTTTTTAAAGATGAAGCATACAGTCTAAAGAAAGAAATTCTTGTATTATCGTTTCTGAAATGATAGACGCGTGTAAAAAGAGTTAAGGAAGAGGTAGAGAGTCAGTTCTTTACGCTAAGTCATTGTACATCTAGTTTTTTTAAATAGAAATCGTACTGATTATTGAAGAAAAATTTGCTTTTTTTGTGTGCGTAGTTTGTTAAACATCCTGCGTCTATGATGTGCAAATTAATGTTAATAGACTAACGATAAATCTATTGTCAATGGTAAAAAGAAATTTTCCGGCGTTTTAAATTATAACCTTTTACTATCTTTATTTAAAATATTTATTCTTTTTGTTGGTGTTTATGTACTTGTTTTACGGTATTTTATTGTGGCAACTGACGTTTGTATATATTATCATAAATCCGAAAGTAATATTCTTTATTTATGTCTGATTTCTTTTATTCTATTTAAAAAATTCTTAATTTTGTTCATTCAATATTAATTTATGTGTGGCTCTTCTTGTCATTTCATATTGATTGTTAGTATTTCTTAGATTAAAATCTCATTTTTTTCTTCTCTGTATAGAATTTGTTATTATTATGGATGTTTATTTGTATGCATATTCACTATGATCCTTAAATAACAAGTTCAAACAACCTATGATCGTTTTCGATATTTTCACTCAAAAATATTTAAACCGCATCAATTATGCGTTGAACTCGAGAATTCTTTTCATTTGTCATGTGAATGATAGATGTCCTTGTTGAGTTATTCGGTTGCACGCAGTCTGTTAAGAATAAGAAGAAATGTAAAACTTGAAGAGAGAAAATATAGATCTAAAAAATAACTTATCATGTGATAGCATTGAGAAAACTTGTTGGTAGAGCAGTTGGAAATAAGTATTTGTAAATCGAATATAGAACTGCTATGAATAACATGACTTTCAGTCTTGAAAATACTTTATTCGAGCTTTCGTCAGCTTTCAGTTGGCATCATTAGGAATGTAATAGACATTCGAACAAACGATGGTATAAAAAGAAGAATAGATAAGAAGGATAGAACAGAAAAAGAGAAATAACTCAAGGAGAACCTGTAGTTGGCATAGCTGCACGTTTTTTTATAAC